TTTGCTAACCCGTTTTCCTTTTTGTTTTGGTTCGCCCTGTTTACCATTATTGGTAAGCAGTTTTGATTTCAGGTGTGAAGTTGATCGTGCGCATACTTGAGCCAGGATTGGGATCACTTAGTTAGGAGTTTATTCATTCATGAGTTAGACATGTATTATTTGGAGTATTAATTATTTTTTTTAAACTATATTATGAAGTTATTATATTATTAATAAAATCAGTTATTTTTCCGCTGTCATTATTAGTAATTAAAAAGCCTTACGTTTTCACGTGGCGGTAATACGCCCAAGTCTACCTCTACGGTATTTTATACGTACAAATATTGTATTTACGTAGAGGGAGATTTGGGGGTGTTACAGAAGACATATGGCAATTTTAGTTTAAGGAATTACTTGAAAAAGCGAGTTAAAGAATTAAGGAAAGTTTTGTTTTACGGTGATTAAGTAATTAAGAAATAAGGTAAGTGTGTAGTCATGAAATGTTAAATGGTAAGTGGCTTTTCTTGGGGAATAATCAAGAAAGGTTTAAGGAAAATAAGTAAGATGATCAAATCTTTGTAAGATGGAAATAGGAATTAAGGAAATAATGGAATTTAAGGTAGATAATTAAAATACAAAAATTACCAAAATAATTTGCTCAAAAATACTATATGGTAAGGCTCAATATTTTCGGACTCCCTTATTAATATTTAGGCATTATTTTGCTAGATTTTAAGTAGTAAAAATGATTGTGTAAATAATATATTTTGCACAAAATAATTAATTAGAAAAATACCAATTAACCACTAATTAATTTAACTAAGAAAATCATATTTTCTACACTTAGAAAATTCGAAAGTCCTAGCTAATTAATTGGGGAAATTCGGCCCTTTATAAAATAAATAGGAAAATATAATTTTTGCCTTACTAAAATATCCAATATATATATATATATATATATATATATATATATATATATATATATATATATATAATCTGGTTTTTAAAATAAATAAATGGATAATAAATCTTATATAAAATCCAAAAATAATAATTAAGTTTTAAAATGTTTTTGGTGCCAAATTCAAATATCATTTTGGCTCCAAAATTTAAATAGTAAAATAAATTACTAAAATACCCTTTTTAGAAAATACTAATTAATTAATTAATTTGAAAATATGTTTCAAAAATATGGGGTATTACAGCCACCCCCCTCCCCCTTCCACTTCACCGAAAATGACCCTCGAGGGGGGCAGAAATCGTTGAGGGGGAAGGGAGGTGGCCGAAATCGGGATTGGGGAAGTGGAGGGAGGTGCCGGAGGTGGAAGGGGCTACCGCGTACAGTCTGGGTTTGGTTTTAATCCCTTCGTTTTTTTTAAAAGCTACACTTGCTATCTTCGTTCTTTTTTTTTTAAAAGTTACACTTCCTCTTTTGGAAACTTTTACAATTTAATAATATATCTTTACCCACTAATGGTCCCCACTCACTCTTATTTTATCATTTCACTCCTCCAATAGTCCTCACACACTCTCTCTCTCTCACCACTTTACTTTTCAATAAAATAAGGAAAAATTGCCCGCAATAATCCAAGCTTTGCCTTATCCACCCAAAATAATCCCACTTTTCGATTATTTTTTAATAATCCGACCATTAATGTCAATCCGCTGAAAATGATCCCTAGTGACCGGTAACCTGTTAAATAGTTTTTTTTCTTTTGGTTTAAAGTATACGTGTCACCACATGATTTGTTTAAATTTTTAAATTAAAAAAAAAAATTGAATTAAAAAAAAAAATCGGCAGCCCCCAGCCACCCTCCTCCCCTAGCCCTTGTTGATTTGAAGCCCCAGCCACCGCCGTCGAATTGTAGCCCCATCCACCGCCAATTCGAAGCCCCACACACTGCTGATTTGAAGCCCCAGCAAGCGCCGACGAAAGCCCCAGCCATCGCAATGTTGTCGCTATTGTGGGTGGTTGCTCTGAAAAAGGAGGCCGAAATCGGGTCACGGGAAGGTGAGGGATGCCGACTCGAGGTGGGGGAAGGGGAGAGGGGCTGGAATCGAGTCGGAGAAGGGGTTTTCGAGGGTAGGAGGATGGTTTTAGTGTTTTACGTGGGGAAGGGGGTTGTCAGTTAGGGGGAGGGGGTCGGTCGCGACACTGGCGCTGGGGGAGTGGGGTCTTGGTGGCCGGAGTTGCGGGTGGTAGGGAGGGTGGTTTGGGCTGGTGGATTTTAAATAATTTTTTTTTTTATTTTTTCTTAAATAAATTTAACTTTTTTTTAAAAAAAAATTATTTTTATTTTATTTTTATTTTTTTGATCAATCACAGGCCAATATGTATCACATAACTTGTTATAACAAGTGACATGATCGATTGGGACCATTTTCAGCGGATTGACATCAAAGGTCAGATTATTAAAAAATAATCAAAAGGTGTGATTATTTTTGCGATAAGGCAAAGGTGGGATTATTTCGGGCAATTTTTCCATAAAATAATAGAACGCTATCTTTTCTTACAATTTTTTTATTACTTTATTTACCCCACTAAGATCTTAGCCTTCTTTGGCAAATGACTGTTGGCGGTTGGCGATTGGCTAGTTCACTTGGCTTGTTTGACCAGTTGGAATGTTTGGCTGTTTATAATGGCTTTTGAAATTGGTTGTTTATAAAAGTGTTTAGTAAATTTAGTTGTTGGTTATAGGTTGTTTATTAGATAATTTGTGGGTCAACAAGCCAAAAGCCAACAAAAAAAGCTACTCATAGCAGCTTTTTTCATTTTGGCTTCAAAGCTAGTTTTTTCGTTGAATTAAAAGCCAATTACCAAAACTTTTTTTGGCTGTTTGACCACATAAAAAAGCCAAGCCAAAAGTTAACCAAAAAGCCACCAAAAAGTCATTTACCAAACACGACCCTTATTTTATTAAACATTCTAAAACTCCGCGCAATCTCAACTCTAACTTTTTTAAAAAAAAGAACGAAGGAAATATTATTTTTTTAATTTAATTTTTTTACTAATCACGTGCTGACGTGTCCGCTAACTTGTTTTAACAAGTTGGATAACCAATTAGGACTACTAGAAGCAATTTCATGTTTAAGTTCGAATTATTAAAACATTATCAAAAGTTGGGATTTTTTTCGGTGAATGAGGCAAAGTTGAGATTATTCAAGACTAGTTTTCCATTAAAAAATTAACCAAAGAAAGTATTACTCAAACCTATGAAAATTGTGGTAAAAGCTAGTATCTTAGAGTCAAAATGGTACAAGTATTTTGATCCTGAAAAAAAATAAAATAAAATAAAATATTGTATATGTTTTGATTAAATTGACATGCAATTATGTACATAAACTCAATAACCAATATTTATAATGAAGAGCAGTGACCATAGAACAATAAGTAGAAGCGAGAGACAATGAGCTTTTAGTTATTCTACTAGTATAGTGCCCGTGTGATGCACAGTTTATAAATCAAACTATTAATTCCGTAGGAAAAAAACAAAGATAATTCAATTAGTAATAAGTTGTGAAAAAATATACTTGTACAAATATTTTTGAAATTAAATAAACAATAACAACACATTCATTAAATATATAAACTATGAAAAATATTTATCATATTGAAAATATAATTAATTATGTGGAATCAATCAAAGTCAATGAAATATATTTTAAAATCAATGTAATTTATATAATATATTGATTACACATGGAATAATATAGATATAAATAATAATTTATACAATAAAATATATGAAAAATATGTGAATCACAAATAAATATTATTTTAGGAAAGTGAATCACAAATATATGATTTAATGAATATATATATAAAGAATAGTTTAAAATAAGTAGTTGAAAGAAAAAAAAAAATGATTTTGGAGGGAAAAAATAACACCATGACGTGACACGTGTCATTCCTGGTGTATGTTTTAGTATTATGTTATTGATACATTCAGATATATATTATTTTTTTAACAAGAAAAAAAGAATTTCATTAATAAAGCGTTGTCAAACGGCACTTAGAAACCATTCTTAAGAAATCTTGACTTAGCATTAATTTTTTTACACCATAAAATATATAGACTATATATAGAATTTACATATTTAAAGTTTTAAACACGATTTTAATAATTAAGGTCCTCATTGGGACGATCTAAACCCATGCATCCTGCAGAAGATATGGATAATATATCGAGTTTAGTGAACAAAATATGTACACTTATACAGTATGCATCTAATCATGAAAGAGTTGGCAATTTCAAACAATTTGATTAAGTATGCACGTTCTCAGCAAGTTGACATGAAGAATAGTAGAATACAATATGCTGTAAGAATAGGTAAATGTTTAACCGGATATTCGAAATAGTTTCAAGACAAAATCTGTCAAAACAGATTGGTTTGATCCATAATTTTGTCATAAAAGATCCTATTCACACCACGGATCCCAAGTACTTACGCCACATGGTCAAATGCAAATTCCAAAAATTCTAGCTTACATGAATGACACATTTGGTAAGCGGTCATAAATTACAGGAATAGTAATTAATTTGTTTGTATTTTCGCTAAAAACTTAGGTTCATTACCATGGAAATGTACCTCTAAACATTTATTTGTTTATTAATTTTCCATTACCTAATGGTGTTAAAAAATTTGCGAAAAAAGGTATTTGAGAGTGACTAGCATTACTATGGGCATTAGCATGAAACTTTTTCACAAATTTATTTTTAAAATCAATACCATTACCACTATTTATTACTAGCTACCAAACAAGCCGTCAAACCTTTCACTAGGACCATAGATCTGATGCTTGAGGTAACTTGTGAATTCGATGCAGCACACTCCAAGTTGTAGGTCTAAAGACACAGTTACCTTTTTAAACCTAGGTCCAACTACACCTTTCACAGAGATGTTACTGCTTTGTTACACTTGACAACTTCAATGAACACCCAGTTCATAAACAAAGAACTACCTCTCTCTCAAATGAATTGCATAGGAAACCACTCATCAGGATCACAAAAGACAGAAAATTTCCTCCGCATCCTTATCATCATCTTCAACTTTACTCAGATGAAAACACAAAAGAAGAATGAGATATATCACAACTGATTAGTAACTGTTCCCATTAGCAGAACATGAAGATAACACACTAGGGACTAACGACAAATACTAACAGAAAAACACATTTATATTTAGAAAAGTATACTAAGTGCACAAGGCATAAAATCAGAATCGAAATTGAACAAGAAAGCTGAAATTATTGCTTGAAGATATCAGCAAGATAGAGTACCAACGACCGCTTCCTGATGATGAGTTGCAGCAGGCTATGATTCCACCACCCTCCAATAGAAGTAGAATTACCTGAAATTGAGAGACAAAAGACCAACTTCAGGTCAGCGAGGGAAAAATACTCGCTGGTGACAGGAAGAGCCAATTCAGTCATCAAGGAGCTAGCATTGCTAACAACTGCGTGCCTCAATGAGATAGGGAGAGGTGGCAAAGGTTAAATGATTTTTGGAGTATATATAATTTTTGTCTGCTGCCTTTAATATGACAATTAAATCCTTCATTCCTTTATTTCTTTCAACTTTCAAAGGTTGTTAGTTGCAATCAGGAGGTGATTTGACAAAATTAGTATGGACATCATCAGAAAAGTGAAAATCCATAGGCCAAAACAGAAATGTTGGCTTCCTAACATTACATGGATTAATCATATTATTTCTATATGACATTATTGATTTTTGATGTATTATTGACTCCTAAATATATCATTCATTCTTTATGGTGCAACCCCAATCATAAAATTACAGATCCTTCTCTAAATCTATTTAAAACCAACGGATGAAGCGATGAACTCCTCCGCCTTTTGGGTTCAAATCCATTTCCTCAGAATAGCTAATGAGCCTCTAAACACTCAATTAGGAATATCTATTCTATCAAACAATGTGTTTCAAATGAATCTTACATAGTTACATGACATTCTATAAAAGTATAAATATAAATCATACACATATGACATATACATATATAGCCATTATGAGACCAGGTGAAGGGTAACTTGATATAATCTCAATGAATTGTTTTCTTTTTACTTTGTATGACACTATGAACTAATGTCAGCTCACAATTGGCATCAAGGTCCTGAAGCATCCAGATATAACGCCCCATATCAAGAATTAGTCTGACTAGTCACATATACCATTTTACTTACCTTATCTCTCTACCAGCTGGGGCTTGAGTCTCCTGCTCTAGAACTGCTGAAAGATTCATGATCTTCATCGGCATCTCATGGTTATGCCTTCCCTCATATGTTGTGATGAACGCTCTAGAATCGTCCAATGCTCTTTCTACATACTTCCGTACATTGCATTTGACACTGGTGCAGCGGTAGTAGCTTCTGTATAAAAAGAAAATATATAATAAAATTTAAGCTACTTTAAGATAGAACTATTTAAACCATTCTCCATTAATGGATGTTTCTCTACAAAATATGGTCACTTGTTCTTCTAATCATGATGCAGTTATTAATACCTCCATCTGAATTAGTTGTTAAATTATTGATTCAATAACTTTTTATTACTTTTTTATAGTGATAATAATTTTGAAGAAAGTAAGTCATCCCTCTATCTGAAAATATTAGTCACGTATACCTAGAAATATATAGTTTTCACATTTCATCAAAAGTAAGGGTTTGTAATTGGTCTTAAGCATAATACCATAACTAAGATTGAGTGATGAGGAGAGTATGGAATAATTTACTATAAAGGGTTTTGTAAGACTCTGTCATGTGCAAATTAATACTTAATAACAAGGGTTGGACTGAGGATAATGCAACTAGTCTTTTTGGATGGAGGAAGTGTCTTGCTAACTCTTGTTTGCAGTCATTGGCTCATTACGACAATACAGCCCAGTAGCAATCTAATGTACTTTGCAGGAGACAATTTTAAAACCTAACTACTAGAGTAAACGATTTAATTAAATGCAAATCTGAACAGTAAACCCCCCCCCCCTCTTCCCCTTCCCGCTTATAACCATTGAGTCCAAGCACAACATTTCTAAGTACATCATAACTACTAACCTGGGGTATGGACTCCCTTTCACTACCTTCTGCCCATATTTTCTCCAGCGAAAGCCATCGCCCATGATTTCAGGCTCGTTGATGTTATGCACCCAGATACAAGGCTCTTGTACACCTTCACCTGATTTTCCAGCTTCACTGTTTTGAACATCCTGTTTCCTAATACCAAAAAATAAGACATGTTCATGCTAACACTTAAAGAGAATTATGGAAACAAAGGAAACATGCATGAATCACCTATTACTGCCATTTAAATCACACCTTACCTTCTCTTGTTTTTTATTCTACCACCATTGGCCTTTAATCCCTTGGTCGATTCTTCACAACCCCCACCAAGTCCAGCTGAATCCACAACAGTCTTGTCACTAGGAATGTTCTTTTCTGCATCAACAGGATGGCATACTGGGGCAACAATTCCAGGAAACGTAGACTGCTTGGACAATTGCATTCCATTTTCATTACTCATCTGTCTCTCAAAACCTTCATTTTTCTCACAAACATTATCATGCAACTTGGGGTCACTAATATTGGGATCTTGATTAGTCCCAGCAAACAATTCCTGTCCATGTACTCCAGATGAGCTGCGCTTGGCATGATCTGGCTTCGGATGGTTATGCTCTCCTTTATAGACAATTTCTGTTATCTGCCCATCTAATGACCTCTCAATCTTTTTTTTCACTGGGCATTTCAGATGTGTACATTTATAATAACTTCTTGGATACTCACTACCCTTGACTTGTTTTTGGCCATATTTTCTCCAATTATACCCATCACAAGAGGGTCGATCAGCACCAGCTATCGAAGATGTCATCATTTGGGGCTCTCCCTCTACCATTTGTTGTGCCATTGAAGGAGACTTAGCTGATTCAGATAATCCAACTCGTGGCAGATTACTTGAATGCTGACTTGAGAATAAATGTAGCTTTTTCTGCCGTGCAGACACATCTACCTGAAATAATGTTTGTCGATGAGTAACACTGGAATTTTCCTGCTCCATAAGTAAGCCGAGAAACAAGAATAACAACTAACATTACAACTTAAGGAGTCTACAATATGTGAAACCTAAAACAATTAACATTTAACATTGATATCGATTGGATGAACTAACGTCAATACTAAGTATATCATGCCAAATTAACTGTTACTCTATCAGAGAAGTACCTCTGGTTTCAAAAAAAAAAAAAAAAAAAAAAAAAAAAAAAAAAAAAAAAAAAAAAAAAACAGAGAGAGAGAGAGAAGTACCTATTCCCCTAGTATGAATCTCACTAGTTACAATTACCTCTAAGGCTCTAATCCATAGAAGACTACTCGGGAGGCTGTGCTGATAGATCCATCAAATAAATATATTAAAAATGGTAGCAAGTACGAGATGTTATTACATATAATGTTTGCCAAAATACTCATAAATTGGGATGAGATCAGAATCCAACAAGATGAGAAAGCTTGATTTAGAGCCAACAAGGGGAACTGAGAGACAACATAATCAGCAGAATATCCCAAGGAAATGACTTCATGACCATTAGGACAATTAAATTGATCAATTTGAAATCCCCTTACAACTGTTTTCTCTATCCCTCCAGGATAAGAAATATATCCCCCACCCACCTGCCCTTCCTCCCCCCTCCCAGCTTCATCCTATCTTATCCTCCCCCTTTCTTCTTTCTTCCATAAATCCCATTAAACAACGTTGAAGGCTCGTGATTACTCATTAGTATGCATTAAGGCCAGAAAAGGTATAAATGAAGGTTAAAAGGTATGAAGGATTTATACTAACCATACTGAGCAAAATGGAAACAGTTGCCTTGGAGACAACCTTTGCTAGTGGTTTGAAGACGGTGGACCGATCAGGGACTCTGGATATGTTATCAGATGAAGAATAAGGAGCTCCTCTGGAAGTGTCCACCTGTGATAGAATGTGCACAAAGGTCAGAGTTTGCTGAAAAAGAAATTTTGTCCATGGGGTTGAGAATGAGACTTGCCTGAATTTCTTTGGCATGTGGAGACTGATTGATTGTGGACTTTACCCTCACTGTTTTGGGTTTAATAGCAGCAACTGCCATTTCAGAGATAGCATTCGTACGTGGTGGTGATGCATTGACAACACCAGAATGAAGTTTAGAGAAAGATCTAAAGCCAGTACAAGATGGCCTTGAAGCTACTGGCTTTGTTATGACTACTCGGTCTATCTCTTTTACCTCCATTCCCAACTATATACAGTAAAGTGACTACAGAAGTACAGACAGGCTACAAATTTGGACCTCCAGCTGAAGAATAGTTTGTGTATGCATCAGCAGCTTCATTTCAGTCAAGAGCTCAAGACAAGTCCATCAATGGTAAAGTTCATTCAAAATTTGCTGGTTCTGAATTCAGGGCTCCAAATAAACTCAGCATGTCTGTAGAATAGCATAGATGAGATATAGAGAAAATAGACACAATAATACTATCATCATTACATCAACATCATAAGTAGAAGAATAGTAAATCTATTATATGATAGGAATTGGAGTATTAGACAGGTATTGCAAAGACATGTTCCAGTAAAATTCTATATCATAAAAATCACAGCTGTTCATACATGTTGAATCTGATTTCTAAATCATAAAGAACCATGAGCTTGCCTACTCTTGTCATCTCAATATCTCATGACTCAATGAATATTGTGAGCTGAAACCCAAGTTAGCTGCAAGCTGAGATGGAGGTTTCGAACAAATAGAGGTTATTACTTATTAAGCTACTAATGAAGTAATAAGCACCTCATACCGGACGTACCAGTACATCAATTAACAATTTATTCTCTGCCTCAGGACTGGCTGAACTGAAATAACCTGAACTAAACTGGACATTTCATGTACTATTTTACTGAGCATGACTCAAACTGTGAATGAATCTAAACCAAATTAACCCGATTAGAACAATTTTCTTACCAGGTCTACAAATGGTAAAATTACACTCCATTCGCCTCTGAACCTACTGACAGTAAATCTAACTAATGGTCATTCAGAAGAAACTGGTTGTGGGGCATATTAGGACAATCGAAATCACCTCAATTTTAACAATTCCTTCTGCCAAAACTCAGCTGAGGTTGACTAAAACTAGCACAACACAACATTCTAACATAACCCTGATCAAAACTGGTACTCTCTCCGTTCCTTATTATTTGTTATAGATTCCGTAATTTCAAAATATTGAATTTTTATGATTTTTAATAATGCATACGGCGGATCTAGGTGGGTGCCTGGGTGGCACAGGCCCCACCAAAAATATTTAAGTTTTCCTTTTTTGGTTTAAAATTCAATTATGTTATGATATAAAAGACGTCTGTATAATTATTCACTAAGTGCCCTCCAGGCTTAGTATCCTAGATCCGCATATTGATGTTCAAATGTTAAACTGTGCAAATAGGCAAATGAAAGTATGAAACAAACAAAGAGAAACCGTAGTAGTATTACACTAGAAGAAATTCAAAAGATAATTAATTATAAACCAATAAATTCAAATCCCAAATGTCCTCCTACATTGATTACATTGTTGCACAAAACCCAATTTGTAAGTTCTGCTAATTCATCAAATAAGTCTAAATATGATAGAGGGGTAAACAAAATAACGATACCTTTTTGTTGGGAGTATGAATCAAAAGATTGTATTGCCCGTTTTCAGGGGCTGAATTGTATTCTGGGGATGTTTGAGCTTGAAAGCTTGAAGAGTTATAAGTAGAAGTACGAAATTGGAAAGAAGGCGCAGAAAAATGAAGATAAAAGAGGGAGAAGGTGAAGAAGATGGGGAGTTGATGATGATCTTCATGCTGGGTTTGGTGGTGCACTGTACTCCTCCAACTAACAGTCAACCTTCTACACGAGTTTTGACCTTTATAAAGTAAACCACAACTGTACCAAAATTAGTACTTCTTAGGGTGGAATTTCCTTACCTTTTTCCCGCTCTTCCAAATTGTCTAGTCCGTTAACATGGGCAAGATTGACCTGTGAGGGGTTTCGATCAGGTAGGACCCTTCATCTTACCTACCAACCAGGGCCGTCTTAATCATTTTGGGGGCCCTATTCTAAACTTTGAAATTGGGCCCTAATAAAAAAAATGCCGAAATTATCTCTATGACTCTATATATTATAATATTATAACAACATTTTTAAACGAAACACATACTCAAACTTTATTTAAATGATAAATAATATGCTTAATATCCTAATACAATCTCAATTATCAAAAATTTAAACTATTTAAATAGAGCTAATCTTCTAGCATTTTTTTGAAGCAAATTCATCAACCATGTCTTTATATTCCACCTTCTCCAAAAGATCATTTTCAATTGCGATTAATGCCAATCCATTAAGTCGTTCTTGTAACATGGTAGACCGCAAATAAGATTTCAACAACTTCAACTTTGAGAAACTTCTTTCTGCAGAAGCAACTGTTACAGGAATAGTCAATAAGATCCTGTATGCAATCATTGTATTAGGAAAACAATCTACGCCTTTCAAAAATTTTAATATATCAATAGCTCCCATTTTTTTTGCAGGCAAGATATCTCTTAATAACTTTAACTCCACATATAGTTCATGTCCATCAACATCAGATTGCTCATTATGTGTTAATGCTTGCTCAAAATGACTACAACTTGACTTCAAAGATATATCATCTAATGATTCTAACTTTTCAGAAGTAAACATGAAACCAAATATACTTTCATATTCTTAATATTGCTCAAATCTTTTATTAAGAGAAACAATAGCTTGGTCAACAAGGATAAGAAAAAAATTTACTCTAAAAGATTCTTCCCCTAATAACTCAACTGAAGGGGTATTTAAATTCTCATCGAATTGTTTTTTTCTTCGAATAACACGCCTTTGAGGAAATACTGGATCAATATTCATTTCATTAGCAATTTCTTTAGCATTATTCAAGGCAATATAAAATCCAGTATCTCTATATCCTTCAAAGTATGAAATCAACTCCTTTATTTTTTCCATAGCAACATCAATAACCATATTATTTGATTGCAAAAGCTTGCTAACCATATTAATCGCAGACAATACCTCAAACCATATAATTATTGACACTAAAAACTCAAAATCACCTAGCTCATTTGTTGCCAAGGATTTAGCTTCATTACATATTTTAGAGTCAGAATCCTTGTCTGACACTTCAAGCAAAGCTTCTCTAAAATCTGACATTTGACATTTTATAGCTTTGACACTATCTATATGACTCTCCCAACGAGTGGATGACAAAGATTTCAGAGTTAACAATTTTACATTATCTTTCAGAATTTGCCATCTCTTAGTAGATTTAGCAAAAATTGTATAAATACGTTGTACAACTCCAAAAAAATCTTTAGCTTTATTGCAAGAGTAAGCCATATCACACAATGTCAAATTAAGACTATGACAACCACAAGGAGTATAAAAGGCTCTCGAATTTATATCTAAAAGTTTCTTTTGTACACCTTGATGCCTTCCTTTCATATTTGACCCATTATCATAACCTTGTCCTCGTACATCAAATATGTCAAGATCAAGATTTTTCAATTCATTTTGTAAAACATCAAAAAGTCCTTGACCAGTTGTATCATTCACATTCAAGAATCCTAGAAAAGATTCTTCAATACTAACAGAATTTGTAGAGACATCCACATATCTTATTATTAAAGACATTTGTTCTTGGTGACTAATATCAGGAGTACAATCAAGTATCACAGAGAAATACTTTGCTTGTTTAATATTTTTTAAAATTTCAGATTTAATTGCAAAAGCAAGCAAAAGTATTAGCTCATTTTGGATGCTATGCCCAAGATAATGAAAGTGAATCTCATCATTTGTGATACGTTTAACATGCTCTTGCATAATTGGATCAAACTCGGCCAACATTTCAATCAAACCTAAAAAATTACCATTGCTATTTTGATACAATTTCTCATTAGAACCACGAAAAGCAAGGCTATGTTTAGCAAGGAATTTCACTATTGAAATAAGTCTGTTTAAAACATTTTTCCAGTGATCCTTTTCTTTCTCAATTAGTCTTTGAGCCGTTTTATCAATGGTTTCATTCTTTTGGAGCCTTAAACGCAACTCATACCAAGTAGACATATTCTTAACATGTTCAATACCCGTTTCATGCTCTTTAAGTCTCTCACCAATATGTGCCTAATCACTAAAACCATCATTAGCTAACTGTCCTCTACCAATTCCTTTTTTAAAAATTTTACAACAAAAACAAAATACTCTATCAAGTTCTTTTGAATAAACAAGCCAATCTCTATCACATTTCTCTCCATTAGATAAAACTCTAGTATATAAATTAGCCGTAAAGCGTCTAGAGAATTTATCTTTAGGACCCTTTACAATGGAATAATCTCTTTTAGGGCCTTTTGTCACTACTAAATCAATCATTTTCGATTCAAGAGCATCCTAATTTCTTGGATCAAATATATCAAAAGAATATTCATATTGGTCTGGTTGCTGTTCATTATAATTATCATTTTCCTCTCTATGAAACAAATTATCCAAATCCTCACCATCATCATCATTAACATCAACATATTGATCATCCACATTTTTATTTTCAGAGGCAGGCACATTAACATCAACACTTTGATTATCCGAATTAATATTTTCATTAACAACCATTTTTTCAAAAATTTCAGCATTAACATCAACAACATTTGGATTTTCATCTACAATTTGCGGTTTTTTTAATAAAAAATTGTCAAGAGCCCCGCTTTGAGATTGAGTTAACTCTTCCAATTTTTTCTTTTTCATACGTTTATCATAACCGGACAGATACTTTCTTTTAGGAGGCATAATTAAAATCTAAAAATAAAATAAAAATTGCAATAATATGTAGTAATTAAACAAATAGTCAAAAAATTAACAAAATTACAAAAAACAACAAATTATGCAATTTAATCTAATAAATAAAAATGCAAAAAATAGAAAAGGATTGAAACAACCTGGCTTGCGACAACTCTGTTAAATGGGCCGTCTTTGAATGACCTCTATAATTGATTAATTGCGCCTTGCCGGAACTCCATGAGGGACCATGACAATTGACAATTTGCCTCTTTCCTTTGCTCTTCTTGAGTTCTTGTTAACTACTTAACCACTTAACCCTTATACCCAATTTATTATTATCACTATAAAATTTAATTTTTTTTTTAATTCTCAAATCTGAAAAAGATAGGAGATTGAAACAAAATTTATAGAGGGCAACAAAATTAGCTGTTTGATAAACTAAAATTAAGGGGTTTAATTGTGGAAAAAACGAACTTAATTTCCCCATTGAAATCAATTTCTTCATACTTGTTGTAGTTGATAGAAGGTATAACATTTAATTTGGAAAATTTAAAATTTGGGGGAAAAACAAAAAATTGAATGAGAAAGTAGGAAAATTTTAGAGGAAGATTGAAGATTAGAAAGTAATAAAGTATTTAAGGAATTTAAGGAAAATTTTAGAGGAAGATTGAAGATTAGAAACTATTGCACTTCTTGGAATTGCAAGATTAATGGGATGAGGGAAAGTAATTAATTAGGAGGTATCTTGGAAGGTGAGAGTTTTAAGGAAATACTGGAAAAACAAGAAAGTAATACGGTGTGACAGGTAAATGAAATATGAAATTTTTTACAAATTTGTATTATTAGAGATGCAGAATTAATGGAGTAATTAGAGGAATTACAAACTTGGGAACATAAATGAAGGGAGCATGAATCTAGACTGTTTTGTTGTGAAAACCAGAGCATTAATGGAGTTGTTTGACGGCAAAGAGATAGGCGGAGAAAGAGATAGAGTTTTTTTTTTTTTTTTTTTTTTAATATGGGCTCCGATATTTTGGGCCTTTAAAATTTCAGAGGCCCTGTGCTAAGGGTCCGTTTACACAGGCCCTTAGCCGGCCCTGCTACCAACAAAAAAAAACAAAAAAAATGGACAATTCATTTTTTTTTTTAAAACAAAAAATGGACACGTTCGTTGTGCATATATAACTTTGATTTTGGTTTTTTTATTAACGATAAAAAAAAAAAAGATATTTTGGATTTTAATATCAGACAAAAGGCTGAAAATAGTTTTTAACACCCAAAAAAAAAAAATTTAACACGACATAAAAAATTAAAAATTTGAAGTTATCACCAAAATCTTGTTACTAGGACCCACTCCAACGGATAATTTGTTTAAATCACTCTATATATGCACGATTCTCCCCAATTATCCTCTTTTGTAACCAAATCTTTGTTTGAATTTAGTAGAATCAGATCGAATTGCATCCAAAAAACCAAAATTGCTGAAGCATTGTTTGATTTTTGAGAAGAGGAAGAGATTGAAGCTGCTGAAACAGGTATGTGTGTTCATACGATGACAACGAATTATGTATAATCAAATTGGGGAAATATAGTTCGTGTGTTTGGTAATTATGGTTTAAATTCATTACGTTTATTATTTTCAATTGTTTTGTACTCGAATTGATGGTTGGATTATGTTATGTATGCATGTAACTGGCTAGTTACAAAATTAGGATTCATCACAAATTGATATTGGGGATTTTCGTACTAGGTAATTAAAAATGAAAATTGTTGCTGACAATGTTAATTCGTTAGTGTACAAATCTATAAATGTGATTGTTGTTCTAAAATTGATGCAGATTATGTCGTTTATTAGCTCTTCCCCTTCTGAGGAAAAAAAAATGCAGTGTGGTGTGCCAATGGCCAAGCTCACTAGCTGGACAAGGGAGAATCCACGCAGGAAGTTCATATCTTCTAAGTTTTATGACCCAATCACAGAAACTAGGGGCTGCAAAGCTTTCGAATGGGTTGATCAACCTAATGGAACAAATTGGCAAACAGGGGTTATCAACAACCTGTTGTTGGATAAGAAGCTGCTAAAGGGTGAAGTTAATGAATTGAAAAGGGAAGTTGATGAAATCAGTGGCCAAAGGAGGTGCCTACTTAATGAAGTTGATAATTTGAAGAAGAGATGCAAGGGCTTGAACGCTGACAGGAAGAGAATGAACAGGGAGTGCAATGAAGGGAAGATGTCTTCAATCAACTGTTTTGGTTAGGTGGACATGGCCATTTGTATTGGTTTGTCAATGGGTGTAGTTATCCTAATGGTTAGGGGTGTTTAATAGTAAGTTTTATTAAGTAGTTATAATTTCTTTTAATGACTTGAAGTGTTATGAGTTTGGTTTTAGTGATATATATATGTATTTCAATCAACCTATTTATGACTTGTCTAAGTTGTTAAATTGAGAATGTTTAAACATTGGAAAGGATTTAAACATGTGAAACACTAAAATATGGGAAATATGTGAAACACTTGCATGTATTAAAGTTATAGGAATACATTGAAAATGGAACTAAGCACTCAACTATAGGTTGAACAAAGAAGCTTACTTGAAACTGTTTTAATGGCAATCAAAGCCATGCAAAAGCTACAATAATGTATCCAAATGTTCAAATGGCAATCAAAGCCATAGAAAAACTACCAAAATAGATTAAACAGACACAATGTTTTCTAAGCAGTCATGAGTACATCACTGAGTGAGGTTTAACTTGCTGAAGGTTTGCAGCTTGGCCCTTGTTACAACACCTGTTTGGAGTGGTTGTTGAACTGTGGGTGTTGCAGGCTGACTTGAGAAGCCTTTGTCTTTGTTTTTGATTGACTTGAGCTAGGCTGACTTGAGCTTGGGTGCCTTGACTGTAACTGTGCTTGCTTGCTTAATGGCAGACAACCTTCTTGTTCTTGAGGAAACTTTTTGTTTGCTATTCTGTTTTTTTCCTACCCTAATTACACTCTATGACAGAAATAAAAAGTTAGTGGAATAACATACATAAAGGTAAAACAAAGGGGGAGTTGGTAAAATGCTTGTGTTACCTTTTTTGCAGCTCTAATCTCTTTCTTCTTCCTCTCCTCCACCATCCAAGGAGTGTTCAGGGGGGGTCTGCCTGCTGACCTTGTCACATCTGTATCTGGTGCAGCAGGTTGCTTGCAAGTCTTGGCATAATGCCCAAATCCCCCACAGTGACTACATTGCTTCTTCCTCTATGTTGTGCTTGGTTGACCACCTGCAGTAGAACATTCTCTTGGCTCAAGCTTCCTTTTTTTGCTCTTTGGTCTCCCAGGTTGCACCTTAAAAAAGGAGGTTGTGGTTCCCTCATTTTGACTCTCTCCCAGTGCTTGGGACCAAGCATTGGTTGGACAACTGGTTCATAAGCAGCCCTGTATGTGTCCATGGTATAGTATGGGTCAACATATGCCTCAATGTCACCCCTCGTATTCAATATGCATGCATAAGCATGAACACAAGGAATGCTAGTGAGTTCCCAATGGTAACATGTGCAGGTTTCCTTCTCCAAATCAACTAACACTTGGTCATCCTTCAGCTGCACCTCAAATGTATTCCCTCTTGATGGTTGCACCACACAGGACCTAGCCACAAAGTCTATCCTTCCCAGAACATTTCCTCACATATGGCACTAAGTTGCTTGCAATTGTTTTTTAATCCTCCCACTTTTCATTATTCCTATTCATTATATACCTCCCCATCCATTCCATTTAGGTGAGGATAAGTTTATCTCTGGCAGGCCTAATTACTTCATTGAAAGTCTCACAAATGTTGTTCAACAACATGTTGGACTTACAGTTTGGTGTAAATGCATGTCTACACCAATGAATGGTTGGAATGTTGACTAAGTACTCATATTCCTCTTCACCAAGGAATTTGATAGACTCCATGGCCATTTCATACTTAAATTGATAATATGCAATGACATACCAGTTCAGGACAACATGTATAAAAGCTAGACATATATAACAGATCAAGATAATTAAGCATATAAAAGTATACCAATATTCAGGACAATTAAGCATATAAAAGCATAAATTAGCTCCTTGAAGCAAACCAATTAACTTACATAAGTGGTAGCCTTGGCTGCTCTTCAAAATAGCTCCTTGAAGGTTGATTCAACAAATTTGAGCTTGGAGTTAGCCCAAATATGTCTAACACAAAACCTTTGTTCTGCTTTGGGAACAACAACAGCCATTTATGTAATTAAACACTACCAAATGCAGACAAAAGTAAACTCATAAGCCAATCACATACATACACATGAAAACTTAAAAATTGAACCTAAATACTTAAGAGGGAAACAAAAGCATACCTTCTGCCTGTCAGACATGATGGTTAGCCCAGCTCCTTGATCATGTTTAAACATTGCCATAAGTGATTCCAGGAACCAACCCCAAGTTTCTTGGTTTCCTATCTCCACTGTAGCCCAAGCTAGAGAAAATAAGTTGTTATTCCCATCCTTAGCCACTGCCACCAGAATTTGCCCAGGATAGGCACCTTTGAGGTGACAACCATCCAACCTATTAGTGGCCTACAACCTTTTGAAAAACCATCTTTGAATGGCCTTAAACAAATGAACATTCTCATGAACAAGGGTGGCTCTGGCCTGTCAATACCATCAACAACAACATTGCATCTAGAACCAAGGTTATACTTCATCACAGCTTTCCCATAATCCCACACCCTTGCATACTGCTCCCTAGTTGAAACAAATATGATCAGTTTTTCCCTACACCTAGCTACCCATGCCTTAAAATAAGTCACTTCAATTCCTAAATCATTCAAAATCCTAGCCCTAATCTGCTTAATTCTCCAACCAGGGTTACTCCTAAACTCTTCTAGATACCTCTCTTCTATATATTCAACAGTAATCATCTTGTTCTTCTTCACTTTGAAGCAGGTATGTTTTAATTTCAAGCTTTTAATTTGCCAAGTTTGCTGCTTAACAAGTTTTGATGCAAACACCTTGAAATGACACTTTACTCCCCCCACACATGTACAAGCAGGCATTCTACAGGTGTACTATTGAACTCATAGTCACATCTATGCCTACATTGAATTGTAATCCTTGTACTGTCATTATGCAAGTAGTAGAACTCATACCTTTTTTGAATGGCATGAAGTCTTAAGGCCCTCCTTAAGACTGAAGCATTACTGAATTTCTGACTTAACTTCAACTGGATTGGGTTGTCAAAGTCCACAGCAGCATTAAACCATGGAGCAAAGTCCTCTTCCTCATCAGATCCACACAAACTCCTTGAATCATCTGAATCACCATCAGTCTCTAGCTCCACCTTCAATTTTCCAATATCCAAGTCATCCTTCAACTCTGACCTCTTATCTTTAACAACCCCCTCATCTATTTCACTCCCCAAACATTTCTTAAGGCTTTTGTTCACCTTGTCCAAGGTCTCCTTTGACCCTTTAATATACCATTCCTCATCCCCTTCATCATATTCTTCTTCACCAGGTTCCCAACCTGGTCCTCATCACTCAAATCTGAACTTGAATATCCAGATCCTTCACCTCCATCATCCTCCTCATCATCAAACCTCAATACTTTAGCCTTTGCTGAGGCTTTCCCTTTCAACTTAGCCTTTTCATTTGCAAAACTAGAAGCTCCTACTTTTGCAACCTTCTCTTTCTCTTTCTTTGTGACAAATATTTCCCTAGGTGGATTGTCCTCCCTTTGTTTAGTTTATGTCTTCTTAAACCTAGGGCTCTTCCTAACACTCACAATAGTTGAACTTTCTACCTTCTTGCCCTTTTTATTTGTCTTTGGTGGATTGGGTTGGGCCTCCTTTATGGGCTTACTAGGAGCTTGTGCTGTTACAAAAACTTCAACATACCCCTCTGCATCTACTTTCTCTAAAAGGCCCTTAACTTCTTCACTGCTAACTAGTTCCCTTTTCCCAGTGTTAAAGGTTTCCCCCTTTTGCCTATACCAACAGTTGTAATGCATAGGCACAGCCATATCATCATTAACAAATCCATGAATTGCAACTGTTCTAATTAAATGCACATCCAACTTAGAAACCTGAACTTTCCTGTACCAATAACACCAACCACCACACCAACACAGTGTAGGGTTTCGTAGTGACCCTCACTACGCGGAATGAAACCCGCCAAGACCCGCCCCCATAATACATGCAATTAACAAGAAAAACATAATTTAAAGCATAAGAAATGATAAAAGATTATACCTTTGACGCGTGCTTCGCTCAACTATGAGCTCTTACTTGAACCCCGATAGTGCGAGGTCTCTGACGGGATCGTACCCTCGAACCCGACCCGATCGTCCTAAGCCTCGAAGGTTAGTCAAGGCCCGGACAAAATAAACTAGAGTTTTATGAATTTCAAG